CCTAGGTAATTCGGTGGTTATTGTGGTTGGAAACGGCGGAAGAAGAGGAAGAGAACGAGGAAGCGGTGGACAATGCTGAGTCAAGCGACCAGTCGAAGGAGAGGGATGTGGAGTCCCCGCAACAGAATGAGTCTACTATGCCCAACGAAACATCCACAAACCAAGGGTAGAATAGTGGTGTATGTTATTATGGTCCCGTCGCTGCCGTATTGTCAAATACAGACGGTCAATTTGCTTCGTATACACACATGCGTGATGCTCCCAAACGCTTTCCTACTGTTATTCCGTAGAACATACACACCTGTGCTTGCCTCCTCGAAAAGGGTTGCTGAACCTCCATTACTTTCTTTGTTCTTCTTTCTTTTTTGCAGTCGGTGTGATCATTCCATGGCCGCTGCTGTTTATTGTGTTTTGCCCTAATCACTGCCATCCACTCCTAATTTCATGGTGCATTGTTTCTGAATGCCCATTGCATGCTAATTCTGCGTTCTATTGCCTCAGCAGCTCAACTTAGGGTTGTTACTTAGGTGCCTTTGGGTTGGGGTTTTGTCTCCATTAAAGGAAAACGTGCTTCATGTGATTGCGAGAGTAGGACGAACGTCCTCTGATAGTATCTGCACTTACAGCACTTCTACTGCCGCCATTTCGTGTTCGTCGGTCACTGTAATCAAGTTCGCGGCCTGCAGTTAGTCAGTCTGACCGCGTGGACCTGGACTCGTCTGCATAACGTCACTTCTGATAGGTTGCTAGGCTCTCTTCCAATTTAGCGTGTTCCGGATGGTGCATTGCGAGTTGTAAAGATATCTCATCTAACCACATTTGATCTACTAATGCTATCAGCGTTCACAGAATTCGTTGTTCCTGACCGTTACGTTCACTCGAGGGGCTAAAAAGAAGAGGTAAGTATGCGCGTCCATACTGGCAGGTCTTTTTGGTCCTCAACTGATTCATAGATTTATCCGGATCTACATAGGTTAACGTTGGACATTTCTTTGACTGTTGGCGTTAGCTCTCTGAGCTTTGTGGAGAGTGATTCTGACTGAAACCACTTTATGGCACAACCGCCGGTACTGGTCTCACGTCTTCGTTTCGCTTTTGGCGTCCTAACCACGCAGATGTGACTCATCTAATGTGGATTTGTGCCCCTGCAGCAGCGTCATGTTCCAACGTATGGTGTCCGATTTAATATTGCCCTTTCAAGTCTCCATCGTCGCTATTCGAGTTCGCGACCCAGCAGCTGCATCAACCCATGGACAAGAAGTGCAGATGACTAAAAAGCGTCTTTGAAAACCTAGCAACGGTGTTATAGAGTCACGTTTTATAAAGATTGCGTAACCGGTTCTAGTCAGGTCACACAGAGGCATCTAAGTGTTTCGATGGCACGCGGCGTTCTCTGTCTTCCTTGTAGGTGCCATCTTCGTTAACGAGTAGGAAAAATGCCGAGCAACGTGATCGTGTCTATGTATCTTCGAGTATTACTGCAGCTGGCTAGGTCATTGATATGCGAGGTTGTCACGGGCTGCGCCGTAATGTCATACGGGCAAAGCAAGGGCTGGTCGCGGTTCTCCCAATTGGGGCGTCAACTCTGTCCAGCCTACTTGTGAAGGAAGGGTCCTTATTTGACGCAGTCCTGTCATGGCCTGCTAGTCATATCTCCGTCCACACTACGTACCGAACATACAATGGA